TTTTCATCATTACCTTCATCCTTTGCATGTCTGAATGGCTATTTAGGAAAACTAGCAATAATTGCTAAAAGCATGCATTTATAGATATATCAATCTGTTGAGACACTTTTGCTACTTAGTAATTATTGTTCTACATTCATTACAAATAAAAATAGTATTCACCTTCTAGAAATAGATGACTAAGGTAGCACAAAAAAAACATTAACAGCTGTTAGACATTTAAAAGATTCCAGATAGACTTGACCTGCATCCACTTAAGGTTTAAAACATAATTACATGCAATCTGTTGAACCAGGACTAAATGAAATGCAGGCTTTGAATGGCAAAGGTAGATATGTTCAGTTGCCTCAAAGGTGCAAATCATAAAGATCAAAAAGCTTCTAAAGAAATTAAAATTTAATTATTTGAGGATTTATTTATTTTAATGAGTTGAGAAAAACAGTGTTGCTCATAAGGTACTGTGTAGCCTCAATTGTTTATAATTGCATTCCACCTCCTGGGAAAAAAGAAAAAAAAAGAAAAATACAAACCTGTGTGGAATGTTTAGCGTTACACATTTCTACCCGAGGTCATAGCCCTCTTCAAAGGAGGGATGCTAAAGTGTCTTAATTTCCATCTGCAAAGGATTGTTTGTCTTCTTTTTAATTTATTTTTGTCTGTAATATGGAAATTGTTAATTTCATCTTTTTTCTTTTTTTTTTTTGCAGCCAGAACAAAGTCAGGATCCCATAGATGCAGAAACCGAGGCTGTCAAAAGTACAAACATATTGATACCGATTTAGTGTGGTATTTATATTAAAGAAAAATATTGTTTGCATATTTTTGCTATTGTTAAATTAAGATTTGTAGGTTATTTATTTTTAACATCTATTTAAAAAAAAGCATCTGCAATTCTGTTGAGAAAGCTTGCTCCATTTTGAGATTGTAATTCTTTTTTGTAAGCTTTATCATTGGTAATTTATTATTCCAGTGATATCAAATGTTTTCCTGTAAATGGATATAGTTTGAAATTGTACTATCATGACAGAAAGTCCTGTGTAAATGTATTACTAAAGATTTCCACTGTGAAATCAGAGATTTCCAGGTTGTAGGCTTACAATGATGCCTGCATGGAACCAACTTTTATTAAAACTGTGATTATGACCAGCAGAAAAGCTGCAACCTTAAACAGATTTTAGATCAGCTCTGATTTTCTGCGCTGAATGTGGAATACTGAAAACGGCCTTCATCAGCCCATGACGCCGAGGCAAAATGACAGACTGCTTTCTGGCTTTGCCTTATTAATATTTCCAAGAATCTATTGGCACTGAGATAGAAAAACCTTTCAGAATGAAAGAGTTATTATGAATCAAATAGCTTGTTAGAGAACTCATAGAAGGCATGTTTCCATCTCAGGTATCTCCTGATTGTTGTCAGAGCAACGGTGATGTTCTGAAGCTAGCATTGAGAATCAGAGCCAATTTAAAGATGTGAATTAACTCACAGGTCACATACTCCGCCGGAGAGGAATAATTACATATCTAACTTCTCATCTCTTGCTGTCAGATGACAGTAACAGGTTAAGAAGAATCTGGCTTTCCCTCCTGCAGAGACAAACCTGCATGAACCCTAATTGATCTCCAGATGCGCTGCGTGTTGGCTGGCAGACACCATCACGCTTGTTTATAAAGTCGCCGAAGGAAGGCAAACATATTTTAGGAAAACTATTTTTTGACAAATGAAGAGCTTGGAGGATTAACAGAGATACACTTCTAATGCTGACAAGACTTTGAAAACATTACAATGTTTTCCCAGTTCGCCTGTGATGGGGTTTCCCTGAGCCTTACCAGTGACGCCGGTTTGAGGTCTTTGATGATGGGGTTTTCTCTGACTGACAGGTGGAGCTGGTAGCCGCTCAGGATGAGCCGGTGATTGATGGAGTCCCCCACCAGGTGGATGCTGGCCCCCATGACGAAAGTGACAATGCAGAGGTGGACGGCTGTGCGGGAGACGGGCCTAGGAGTGCGCTCAATCAGCTGGAAGGAGCAGAACACCTCGCTTGCTTTAATACCAGCTGTGTTTGAACAGACCAGTCCTGTTGGGATTCTGACAACTTTAACAGTATTGTGATGCATTTTCTCCTTCACTCTTCAAACTTTTATTTGTTTCTGCTAAGCTCCACTGGCTTTTGTTCTTACTGCCAGCTGTCTGGTTTCTCCTTTATTTCAAACAAGCATCTGCTGTAAATGTAATGAATAATTCATTGCAGGGGAATTGATCTTAGTTTAATAACCTGGTCCCACAAGAAAATGTCAAACCCAAAAATAAAAAACAAAATTCAAATGCATGTTTGATTTCAGGTGTTGTATATTCTCTTTGCTTTGCTGTTCTTTGTTAGTGATACTGGATAAATAAAGCTCATAGAACAAACACACCTACCTGCCTTCATAACTAGTTGCAGTATTATTACTGTTTAAATAGATAGAAAAACATTTAGAGGCGACTGATCAGCCTTGCTGTAATCAGGATGAGCCGATACCGATATGTAGAAGTTATCTTAAAGCTATAGTGGAGGATGTTTTTTTTTCCGGATGGATCATCAAAATAAGTGGTCCTCCTAATTGTCAATCCTTCTGGTGATATGTTTATGTAAGACCATCCTATGTGCTTGTCCCCTTTTTCACTTACCGATGGTGAGACGGATATAGCGGAAAAATTGCAAATCTTCTTTCGGATAGTAAGCTTGCACGGTGGAGTATTAGGGCCTGTATAGCGATTTTTTACTCATTTATTTCGAGAATAAAGTCGTAACAACGAGAATTAAGTTGAAAAATAATAACGAGAACGACAACCCCTTTCAAAGAAAGCTTTGAGCTCCGATCAGTATATGACGGCCGACCAGCTCCACCAAACAGCAGCCTGAGTCCTCTTTGACATTCTGCCCAATTTAATGCTGGTGCTAAAAGATTTCCTTATTTGTCAAACCAATTCCAAAGTATAACTTCACATGATGCTCCACATTCCTCATTGTAAGTGCTTCTTGTAAGAGTTGTCATAAAATACATTATTCTCCTAATATTAGGACTTTATTCTAATAACACTACGACTTTATTCTTGTATTTTTACGAATTTATTCTCGTAATATTATGACTTTATTCTTGTTGTAACTTTTTTCTCGTACTTTTATGACTTTATTTTCATAATATTACGACTTAAGTCTAAAAAAAAAAATAAAAATAAAAAATCTTTAGCTTGGCCCTGATCCTCCGTCATATGAGTGATGTAAACAGCAACATTTAAAAAGAGCGTGCACGAGGAGAAATTGACTTGTGCATAATAGACGTTTCCTCTCAGGAGCGGGTGCAGGGTTGTGTATGTGCATGTGGAGAGGGCAGGTCTTTTTTAAAACTTTGAACAGAATCCTCAAGTATACCTTTAATCTTAAAGCTCATCTACCTGCAAAGGTCTGAGAATCAATCAATGCTTTAAGTGTTTCATTTATATTTAAGAGGGAAATTGTTTTTCTACTAACCTTTACATTCTGGTTTTTAGTTGTATATCATGTCAGGGTATATGGTGCATAGGTTAGTTTTAAAATAATTTGGTCGTTCTGTTAGTGCTTTGTGGCATAAAAAAAAATCAAAATATACAAAACAATTAAAGCACTAAAAGTAGCACCTTTTCTACTCACAGAAATATGTCACCCAATTTTGAAGATTCATGTAATTTAATTACATTACAAATTCCTATTTACTTTTTTTTTTTTTTTTTTTTACCATAACCCTATTTAATAATCCTTACATGGTGCATATTCATTCAATAAATATAGTTTTTGTCAGGTTTATGTATTTAGAATTAATAAAGTAATCAAAAATATACTTACTCAAAATTAATATGAATTAGTCTATCTATTTCAAATACATAGTTTATTCTTCTGAATTCTGTAAAAATCTGAATGACCTACAAATGAATATTCATCATGCATGATTTATAGAATAAGTTTGCAGGACAATTATCTAAAAAAAAAGTAAATGTTATGTAATAATAGTACATCAATCTTAAAATGTGGGTGAAATATATATAATTAATAATAAATAAGTGTATCAGAGTATAAAACACGGATGCTTACCAACAAACATGACAGTCTTGGTGCTTTGATATGCAACTGTTAACAAGGTAGAGAGGCTCCAAAGTGTCTCTGGCTTAAACTTAGACATTTTTAGAAATATCTCAAATTATGCCAATTACTCCTGAATTTGACTTTTTTAAATCTAATTAACTATATGTCTTCTGGCAGTTTTTACTAATTATGTGCTCCTAAATTCATTTTAGCAGCTCTTATAAAAAGTAATTCAACATAGCAATAAAAAAAAAATCTTCAAAGATTCCCTTATCTAATTAGTTTTAATCAAAAGCAACCAATTAGGTTTCAAGTCCAGCTTTATAAATTAAAGAATTATCAGATCAGAGCTACAACTGCTTCTATATCACGATACAATAGAATATAATTAATAAACAGATAACAGAAATGAGTGGGGAGCAGACTTTCAATGTATGTTTCTTTATAAAGATTCCTATTTCTTTCTTGATTTGAAGTACACCCTAATCTTTTCTTTGAGAACTACAGTCACTCGCTTTGTAATAACGTTAATAACAAAACATTAGTGCAGCTACACAATGACTGCATTCCTGCTCAAACTGGAGGGAAAGCATTGATCTCTGCCTAAGTTCTTACCATATCGGTGAGACGCTAAACTAAAGAGTAAATAATAAAGCTAACTAACTTGATGCAGGCTGCTCATAGGTCCAAACCTTCATGACTCTGTGTTATCAGAACGTCTTCTAAACAGACCACGTCATTTCAGGGTGAAAACTGTACTTTTTTTTCCACTTCTGTTACATACTTATAATGATGTACAGTACTTATAAGGATTATTTTTATGCAGCCAACCAGTTCTTTCCTAAACTTAAAGATGTGATAAAAGGTCACAGCTGATAGAAAATGTGTGGTTTCGCCTTAAGAGAATCTTAAAACTAATATAAGCGCCAATGTTAAAAATAAACAATTGATTTGGATCCTTTCTTTTCACACAGATAAAATAATAACTGACTGATACCAAACAAATCTACAGTTTTTATTATGTGGAGCAGGTGGTAGCACTGTTGCTTTGGGGCAAGATCCTGGGTTTAAAATAAGGTCAAATGATTTTGCCAAATGTCAAAATTGCAACTTTCTTCCCAACCAAACCAAGTTGTGATTGTGATTCAGATTTCCGTTTGCACTAACTAAAAGCATGTAGATGTTTCAATGTTTCACACGGTTTCATTGTTTTCATGACCTTAAAAGCTTCTTTTGTCCGGAGTCGCAGGACTTTACTGTCAAGGCTGATTTATACTCAGAAACCAAGTCGACTGCGTGTGTGTCGCAGTGAATGCTAATGTGCCCCCGCCCCTTCCGCAGACACTCTGCTGCACCTCTGAAAAATTGTAGGTGACCACAGACAGGAGGACTCTGATTGGTCAAATCTACATCCGCTCTACACTATGCGTATCTCCTGTTTGGTATCTTAACGGCTTGTTTTGTTTGTATGACTGCCATTGTGGAAAACGACTCGTGAAGATGGACCAGCTAGAAGAGCGAGGTGCGCGAGAACGCTGGGACCCTTTTTCCACCTGGATCCCTGCTCCTTTTCGCCCTCATGTCCCTCATTTTTTGAACAAACTTGCCTCCACATTCTCACCGCCTCGGCTGTATCTAGTTCCAAATCTAGTTCCTTAAAGTACCTCTTGCGTTTTGGAGTGGAATAACATAGAGCAGACCATGCTTCAATATTGGGTATAAATCAAAAATTTCTGCGACAAGCTCACTGCGACGCACTGCTGCGGGAGTATAACCAGCTTTTTACTGCTAGCATGCATGGATCTGCAAAGATGGCCCTTTGAAGATTGTTTGATGAGAAAACCGAAACCTCGGTAGTTTAGCACCGATGCATCTACAAGCCTGTAACCTATTTTACTGAATTTACTTTGGGTCAGAAGTTCCTGCGCTGTTCTGTGGATGTGACATCAAGCCCATCCATTAGTTAAATGGGTCTGAACTGACAAACAAAGTATTATATTCAAGATGGATTTTGTGGCTAATCAGAAGCAACCGGCGTCCAGTTCAACTCAGTCGCCAATGGCAACTGCACGTAAGGTGAAAAAAGTAAAAAGAAAAAAACCTTGAAAGTACGAGCACCAATTACGAACCAGAGCAGAAAACTTCTGCAGTTCTGCATTTTCGCCACAGGTGGCAGTATCATTAGCAAAATATGAAATGTCTCTTTAAGAGTATTGCTGCTTATATTATCTGAGTGATATTAGTGGAGGTCAGTGTCTAACTGCTGTTAAATGGAACAAAACCAAATCGAATGCCTTTTAAATTCCTGAACTGTGATAATATTGCAAAGTGTGGATTAACACACCAAAAACTGAAGCCAGTCTCTATTCCATCTCTATTCCAAGTGTGCTGTATTATCAAAGATATGCAAAATGTTGGCGTTTGCCTTAATATATATTTGTGATGATCTGAAAGAAAAAACAACTCTGAACTATTTAAAAAGAAAATCTAACGGATACTAGTAAAGGTGCAGAGCATCATCACATTTTAATGCAATCCGTCTGGGAGGACATTTCAAAAGCTACATAAATGATAAGGAAGCTTTGGTTATAAAGGCTTTAGAGCACCTGCAAAAAGCTGATTTATTATTACCAAAGAGCTGTGTGCTTAATATTTACCTTCAGCATTAGAAATGGTGTAATGACATTGTAGGCCATGTGGAAATAGTCTCCAGCACTTGGCTTGTTCAGAGGAAACCATTCCAGGGGAAGGACGATCTAGAAACATGCGAAAAACTTGTATTTATACCTAAACTTGGGTTGATTCTATCCAACAATATCAAAGTACATATTAGGAGCTTAAGGTTTGGCATACCATGGCGATAGGTCTTCCAAAATCAAGTATCCAGTTCTGCAGAGTCAGGCAGAACCACAGGTCAAAGTGAAAGGAAGAAGTTTTCCTCTCCGGGACATTTTCCTTACAAACACCAGCAGTGCTGTAAAAGAAAAAAAAATGCAACAAAAATGAAAAACAAAAACAAAAAGGGTTGCATCCCACAGACTGGATTAGAATAAACTGCTGCTCATACCACTACAATCATTTGAAAATAAAGTATGGCGTTTTACAGGTATCTGGCTTTATAAACAGCTCCTCGTTAAGTATTCACATAAAGAATGGATGATAATCATTTATTTAATTAAAAAAGACAATATAAATAATATACACATTTATCAATGAGAGAATTTGAATTATAAAACCACGCATCATTCATCATATAGCTGTTCTGCTCCTGATTTCCCTGCAGGATTTCAGAATACTGGTGCTCATGAATTTCCTGACTGATACAAGTGATCATGTTGTTTTTGTTAACAGCTGTGCAGTTTCCACAGATCAGGTAGGGAGGGGGCGTTATGGCTCCATCTATGCAGCTACTTTGCCAGAATGAGTGAATACCTCCAAATACCTGGCAGGCCCGTGTGGCTGCATGTCAAATTAAACATTTTTGCATCTGATGAGATAGAAATTACACTTTTAGGTATTTGGGCATCCAATTACATCCTAGAATCTGACAAACATGCTGGTTAGTAGGGCTGCTTTGCTGCTGAAAGGCTTGCAAACCTTGAACTAACCAGCAGATCTTTGAATAAAGCTCTTAACAAAATATTCCAGAGGAATGCCCAGCCATCATTTTTTTAGCTGGAAAAGCGATCCAAAGCATCGCATGAATTCCATCTCTGAATGGCGGCAGTGAGATGCCAAAGCAGCACCCTAAAAAGGTCATCCAAAAACCTGTTTAACATGGTTTGAATAAATCTATTCCACAAAGAGTGGCTCAAAATACCCTTAAGATGCCAAAACAGACCAATTATTACAAACATCTGACTTCAGCTGTAGCTGCACAGCGTGGCACAACCTGTTATTTCACACACAGGCTGGATTATTTGGATAACATTTTACCTTAATGGATGAAATAATTACTGGAAAACTGTAATTTTTATTCATTCGAGTAACCATAGGTAGGTAAATGTGTTTTTTGTTTTTTTTTCCAACTCTCCAGGCTGCCTGAAACACTCATGATGCGATCCAAAGCAATGACAGCAGCTCCCGCTGTGCCACTTTATAACTCTCCAGCATCTCTTTAATCTGAGACGCACTGATGCAAATGATATGTTGAATCGTGTCAGATCTGTAGATGGTCCTTCACTCTCATCCAAAACACTCAAGGATTCACAGTGTGTCATAATTGCATCCTTGACTGTCTGGAATGTTGCCTAAAAAAATCTAATCTGTATCTGTGTTTGATGAGTTTTCACCTTTGTTCTGTTCAGGAGGGAAGCCAACCAACTCTGCATATGTTCATGTTGGGTCTGAGCATCTAGGTGAGTAAATGCTTAATGGTTTTGGGTTTTTTTTCCATATGGCTGCAGTTGCGTGACAGCATGAATGCACTGTTAAGTGTTTGCTGTTTTAGTTTGTTTCTACTTTATTCACTTGATCTGTCATTATGACTTCAGTTTGAATCCAATTTCAAAATAACAAAATCCAGTTTTTTTTTTGTCAAAATTCAAAACAAGATAAAAAAAAAAACACATGAAGAAAAAGTGCTCTTATATAATCACAATTAAAACATTTCTGAATGATATGCATCTTCATCATGGTGTTAATGGAAACTTTCCATTGCATTTAGTACCTGTTTTTTTTTCCTCTGCTCTGAGGGTTGAAGCTATTAGTCGTCATGGGAACAAACCACATCATCTGCATTCATTATGCTGGAAACAATAGTTTCTCTATTGGTAGGTTTACATTCACTTTACCTGTATGAAAGGATTACAATTACTTTCAATATGATATACCTAGTTCTATTTTAAAATCACTAAAAGATGCTAATTTAAGGAAATAAGATATTGGGGGAATCCAAAGTCGCTGAATGTTTGTGTGTCTCTATTTCTACATTAAAAAAAATGCAGAACATTTTCTACTTTAACAAATGATATTTATTTATTTATTGACTAGATATGACTAAACGTCCACTCAGTGCTGGGTAATTTCTGAAATGGCACACAATGTAGAGGAAGTTGATTGTTATAAAAGTTCAACCTGTTCCTTGTCTACAACACTTTGGGAAAATACAAATATAAAATCAGGGCTGACTGTTCACAAATCAAAAGCAACTATTACTGAAATAAATATTGTATCCTGACTGTTATTTTTTTTTTTACTAAGTCCGTGTTTTTAATTCACCATTTTTTGTGTCTGGATCCGTGAATCCTGACATGAATTGTTGCAGGAATAAACCTTTTGTTATGATATGGTCTTTATATTAATCTACCAATTCAGTGTTTGTTATGGAAATAGTATTTTCACTGTACTTTATCACTGAGTGGGACTTAAATTCTGTTGTAAATGTACCTAATGAGACTAAGACAGAATTGAAAGGATAGTCTGTATGTTAGTATCCTATATGATGTTGTGGGCTGCAGAGGGTGGCACTGCTGCCTTGCAACAAGAACGTTCCGGGTTCAATTCCCGACCCAGGGTCTTTCTGCATAGAGTGGAGTTTGCATGTTCTCTCTGAGCATGCCTGGGTTCTCTCCAGGTACTCCAGCTTCCTCCCAAAGTCCAAAAACATGACTGTTGGGTTAAATGGCTTCTTTAAATTCTCCTTAGGTGTGAGAGTGTGCGTGAATGGTTCTTTGCCCTGTTTGTCTCAGTGTTGTTTGATAGTGCTGGTGCCTATCTCCAGCTGTCAAGGCACCAGCACCTCTCACGATTGGGATAAGTGTGACAGAAAATGGATGGATGATGGCCTGTGTTGGGCTACACAAAAGTTAGCTCTTTTGCCTTGCTGCAAGAACGACCTTGTTTCATTCCAGGTCTTCGGTGAAATTGTACATAAATAACAACTTAAATAAAAAAACTTATCAAATAATCAATTTATGATTAGTACTTGTAAATATCAATTTTATGGAGAATGTTTATTGATACAAGTAATGACGATGGAAAAGATTTATGCCCCATAACTCAAAACTGAAAGAATTTTATCCACTATACATTTTATATAGAGAACACAGATCTTTAAATATATGCATCTATTTGTTAGCAAAGGCTGTAGGAAAGTATAGTTAGTCTTTATTTTGAAAATATGGATATTTTGCTCGTTCATTTTCCTGTTGGAACAGTGTAGATTGATCCTGGGGTTCTGGCACCTATCTGCCTTAGGCCACCCCTCAGTGTACATTGGTCATTGCCTGGCCACCCTTATAAAAATGTTCTGGCCCCGCCTCTGCAGTTTGCGTTAGACTGATTGATCACCCTAGGTGTGATTGTGTGTGTGCATGGACTAACAACCTGGCCAAGCTTTACCCCTCCTTTAGACTTCTGGAGATAGACACTAGAGGACTGTGATCCTGATGGAAATTGGTCTTTATTAAAAAAAAAAAACTTTAAGGATTCAAACTGAGTTTGGACAAAATAGGTGTTTTGTATACTTGGAAATGAAATAGCTTTGATTTTCTTGAGTTCCCTTTTGTAAATTAGTGACGCTACTAAATAAAATAAAAAAAGTGCACATACATAAACATAGAGATTTACTGGCAGTGGTGCACATTATTTCCTTCCAATTCTTAGGGTGGCTAATGGAAAAATTTTATTTAATCTTATTATAATAATCTTATCATGAAAACAAATCACAGTTGTTCAAAGCTGGCGCCACGAAAGCTCTCATATATTAAACCTAATGTGCTTTGTTAACCAATTTGATCAAGAAACGGTTTGCATTTTCTGACTGCAATTCCAATGTTTGTTTGTTTTTTTAGCTTTTTACATTTTATGTCTGACTTCAACAGTTCAGAAATGTATTCTACCACAGTAAAACTTCTTTGTTTAAGGCTGTTTGCTAGGTTTTAAATAAGAATGGCAACGTATTTAATGACAATGTAAATAAACAACCATTTCAGTAGTTATTCAATGATAGTCTATTTTCCGGGGTGTATGTGAATGCACCATGAAGGCTCCAGGAGAAGCCGTAAAACACCGAGTAGAGCAGCAATCGTTTTTTTTAGGGATTCTGAGCCGGGGTCGCGTGACTGCAGATTGGACCACGGTGTGAAACTCGATACAACACAGCAACACGGACCATTAGTTGGCTGTGCTATAGAGCCGTATAAGTCTAAACAATCAGGAAATCGGGATAAAGGAAATCATAACAGCGCAGACGGTCCAAACCTGTGTAAATTGTTGCCTCGACGTTTTCGTACATTCTGCATTGGAGGTTCCGGTTAAACGGTCTCTGTTTTATCAGTGAAGCAAGAAAAAAGCCGGTGTCCAAATTACAAGAGCTTAAGGCGTCTAAAGTTTATTGAAACTGATAGAAGCGTTTTTCACTTCCTTGTTAGCATTTTGGCTCCGCCCATTCCAGTAATCCTCCAATCAAAGAGCAGAACATGGAGGGAGGCGTAAACTCAAAACCGCTAAATTATTCCGTTTTAAGACTATAGCTGAATTATTAACAATAATAACACTCTAAATAAGCTGTAAAAAAATAATTAAATCAATTCATCCTTATCACATAATCCATAGAAACGAAGTATGTTATATAAGTGTTATATAAATATTTTTCAAATCACAATAGTTAAGATTTAGTGTCAAATATTATATTATATATTATTTGTGGTATATATTATTTGTGGTTATATACATATACATCAGTGAGGAAAAATCAGAATAAAATATATTAATTAGCTTATCTATTTAAAAATTTTAAAATTTATTAATTTATTGCTTATTGCAACTAATGAGCAGAAGGTGANAAAGTACCTCTTGCGTTTTGGAGTGGAATAACATAGAGCAGACCATGCTTCAATATTGGGTATAAATCAAAAATTTCTGCGACAAGCTCACTGCGACGCACTGCTGCGGGAGGATAACCAGCCTTTTACTGCTAGCATGAATGGATCTGCAAAGATGGCCCTTTGAAGATTGTTTGATGAGAAAACTGAAACCTCGGTAGTTTAGCACCGATGCATCTACAAGCCTGTAACCTATTTTACTGAATTTACTTTGGGTCAGAAGTTCCTGCGCTGTTCTGTGGATGTGACATCAAGCCCATCCATTAGTTAAATGGGTCTGAACTGACAAACAAAGTATTATATTCAAGATGGATTTTGTGGATAATCAGAAGCAACCGGCGTCCAGTTCAACTCAGTCGCCAATGGCAACTGCACGTAAGGTGAAAAAAGTAAAAAGAAAAAAACCTTGAAAGTACGAGCACCAATTACGAACCAGAGCAGAAAACTTCTGCAGTTCTGCATTTTCGCCACAGGTGGCAGTATCATTAGCAAAATATGAAATGTCTCTTTAAGAGTATTGCTGCTTATATTATCTGAGTGATATTAGTGGAGGTCAGTGTCTAACTGCTGTTAAATGGAACAAAACCAAATCGAATGCCTTTTAAATTCCTGAACTGTGATAATATTGCAAAGTGTGGATTAACACACCAAAAACTGAAGCCAGTCTCTATTCCATCTCTATTCCAAGTGTGCTGTATTATCAAAGATATGCAAAATGTTGGCGTTTGCCTTAATATATATTTGTGATGATCTGAAAGAAAAAACAACTCTGAACTATTTAAAAAGAAAATCTAACGGATACTAGTAAAGGTGCAGAGCATCATCACATTTTAATGCAATCCGTCTGGGAGGACATTTCAAAAGCTACATAAATGATAAGGAAGCTTTGGTTATAAAGGCTTTAGAGCACCTGCAAAAAGCTGATTTATTATTACCAAAGAGCTGTGTGCTTAATATTTACCTTCAGCATTAGAAATGGTGTAATGACATTGTAGGCCATGTGGAAATAGTCTCCAGCACTTGGCTTGTTCAGAGGAAACCATTCCAGGGGAAGGACGATCTAGAAACATGCGAAAAACTTGTATTTATACCTAAACTTGGGTTGATTCTATCCAACAATATCAAAGTACATATTAGGAGCTTAAGGTTTGGCATACCATGGCGATAGGTCTTCCAAAATCAAGTATCCAGTTCTGCAGAGTCAGGCAGAACCACAGGTCAAAGTGAAAGGAAGAAGTTTTCCTCTCCGGGACATTTTCCTTACAAACACCAGCAGTGCTGTAAAAGAAAAAAAAATGCAACAAAAATGAAAAACAAAAACAAAAAGGGTTGCATCCCACAGACTGGATTAGAATAAACTGCTGCTCATACCACTACAATCATTTGAAAATAAAGTATGGCGTTTTACAGGTATCTGGCTTTATAAACAGCTCCTCGTTAAGTATTCACATAAAGAATGGATGATAATCATTTATTTAATTAAAAAAGACAATATAAATAATATACACATTTATCAATGAGAGAATTTGAATTATAAAACCACGCATCATTCATCATATAGCTGTTCTGCTCCTGATTTCCCTGCAGGATTTCAGAATACTGGTGCTCATGAATTTCCTGACTGATACAAGTGATCATGTTGTTTTTGTTAACAGCTGTGCAGTTTCCACAGATCAGGTAGGGAGGGGGCGTTATGGCTCCATCTATGCAGCTACTTTGCCAGAATGAGTGAATACCTCCAAATACCTGGCAGGCCCGTGTGGCTGCATGTCAAATTAAACATTTTTGCATCTGATGAGATAGAAATTACACTTTTAGGTATTTGGGCATCCAATTACATCCTAGAATCTGACAAACATGCTGGTTAGTAGGGCTGCTTTGCTGCTGAAAGGCTTGCAAACCTTGAACTAACCAGCAGATCTTTGAATAAAGCTCTTAACAAAATATTCCAGAGGAATGCCCAGCCATCATTTTTTTAGCTGGAAAAGCGATCCAAAGCATCGCATGAATTCCATCTCTGAATGGCGGCAGTGAGATGCCAAAGCAGCACCCTAAAAAGGTCATCCAAAAACCTGTTTAACATGGTTTGAATAAATCTATTCCACAAAGAGTGGCTCAAAATACCCTTAAGATGCCAAAACAGACCAATTATTACAAACATCTGACTTCAGCTGTAGCTGCACAGCGTGGCACAACCTGTTATTTCACACACAGGCTGGATTATTTGGATAACATTTTACCTTAATGGATGAAATAATTACTGGAAAACTGTAATTTTTATTCATTCGAGTAACCATAGGTAGGTAAATGTGTTTTTTGTTTTTTTTTCCAACTCTCCAGGCTGCCTGAAACACTCATGATGCGATCCAAAGCAATGACAGCAGCTCCCGCTGTGCCACTTTATAACTCTCCAGCATCTCTTTAATCTGAGACGCACTGATGCAAATGATATGTTGAATCGTGTCAGATCTGTAGATGGTCCTTCACTCTCATCCAAAACACTCAAGGATTCACAGTGTGTCATAATTGCATCCTTGACTGTCTGGAATGTTGCCTAAAAAAATCTAATCTGTATCTGTGTTTGATGAGTTTTCACCTTTGTTCTGTTCAGGAGGGAAGCCAACCAACTCTGCATATGTTCATGTTGGGTCTGAGCATCTAGGTGAGTAAATGCTTAATGGTTTTGGGTTTTTTTTCCATATGGCTGCAGTTGCGTGACAGCATGAATGCACTGTTAAGTGTTTGCTGTTTTAGTTTGTTTCTACTTTATTCACTTGATCTGTCATTATGACTTCAGTTTGAATCCAATTTCAAAATAACAAAATCCAGTTTTTTTTTTGTCAAAATTCAAAACAAGATAAAAAAAAAAACACATGAAGAAAAAGTGCTCTTATATAATCACAATTAAAACATTTCTGAATGATATGCATCTTCATCATGGTGTTAATGGAAACTTTCCATTGCATTTAGTACCTGTTTTTTTTTCCTCTGCTCTGAGGGTTGAAGCTATTAGTCGTCATGGGAACAAACCACATCATCTGCATTCATTATGCTGGAAACAATAGTTTCTCTATTGGTAGGTTTACATTCACTTTACCTGTATGAAAGGATTACAATTACTTTCAATATGATATACCTAGTTCTATTTTAAAATCACTAAAAGATGCTAATTTAAGGAAATAAGATATTGGGGGAATCCAAAGTCGCTGAATGTTTGTGTGTCTCTATTTCTACATTAAAAAAAATGCAGAACATTTTCTACTTTAACAAATGATATTTATTTATTTATTGACTAGATATGACTAAACGTCCACTCAGTGCTGGGTAATTTCTGAAATGGTACACAATGTAGAGGAAGTTGATTGTTATAAAAGTTCAACCTGTTCCTTGTCTACAACACTTTGGGAAAATACAAATATAAAATCAGGGCTGACTGTTCACAAATCAAAAGCAACTATTACTGAAATAAATATTGTATCCTGACTGTTATTTTTTTTTTTACTAAGTCCGTGTTTTTAACTCACAATTTTTTGTGTCTGGATCCGTGAATCCTGACATGAATTGTTGCAGGAATAAACCTTTTGTTATGATATGGTCTTTATATTAATCTACCAATTCAGTGTTTGTTATGGAAATAGTATTTTCACTGTACTTTATCACTGAGTGGGACTTAAATTCTGTTGTAAATGTACCTAATGAGACTAAGACAGAATTGAAAGGATAGTCTGTATGTTAGTATCCTATATGATGTTGTGGGCTGCAGAGGGTGGCACTGCTGCCTTGCAACAAGAACGTTCCGGGTTCAATTCCCGACCCAGGGTCTTTCTGCATAGAGTGGAGTTTGCATGTTCTCTCTGAGCATGCCTGGGTTCTCTCCAGGTACTCCAGCTTCCTCCCAAAGTCCAAAAACATGACTGTTGGGTTAAATGGCTTCTTTAAATTCTCCTTAGGTGTGAGAGTGTGCGTGAATGGTTCTTTGCCCTGTTTGTCTCAGTGTTGTTTGATAGTGCTGGTGCCTATCTCCAGCTGTCAAGGCACCAGCACCTCTCACGATTGGGATAAGTGTGACAGAAAATGGATGGATGATGGCCTGTGTTGGGCTACACAAAAGTTAGCTCTTTTGCCTTGCTGCAAGAACGACCTTGTTTCATTCCAGGTCTTCGGTGAAATTGTACATAAATAACAACTTAAATAAAAAAACTTGTACTTGTAAATATCAATTTTATGGAGAATGTTTATTGATACAAGTAATGACGATGGAAAAGATTTATGCCCCATAACTCAAAACTGAAAGAATTTTATCCACTATACATTTTATATAGAGAACACAGATCTTTAAATATATGCATCTATTTGTTAGCAAAGGCTGTAGGAAAGTATAGTTAGTCTTTATTTTGAAAATATGGATATTTTGCTCGTTCATTTTCCTGTTGGAACAGTGTAGATTGATCCTGGGGTTCTGGCACCTATCTGCCTTAGGCCACCCCTCAGTGTACATTGGTCATTGCCTGGCCACCCTTATAAAAATGTTCTGGCCCCGCCTCTGCAGTTTGCGTTAGACTGATTGATCACCATAGGTGTGATTGTGTGTGTGCATGGACTAACAACCTGGCCAAGCTTTACCCCTCCTTTAGACTTCTGGAGATAGACACTAGAGGACTGTGATCCTGATGGAAATTGGTCTTTATTAAAAAAAAAAAACTTTAAGGATTCAAACTGAGTTTGGACAAAATAGGTGTTTTGTATACTTGGAAATGAAATAGCTTTGATTTTCTTGAGTTCCCTTTTGTAAATTAGTGACGCTACTAAATAAAATAAAAAAAGTGCACATACATAAACATAGAGATTTACTGGCAGTGGTGCACATTATTTCCTTCCAATTCTTAGGGTGGCTAATGGAAAAATTTTATTTAATCTTATTATAATAATCTTATCATGAAAACAAATCACAGTTGTTCAAAGCTGGCGCCACGAAAGCTCTCATATATTAAACCTAATGTGCTTTGTTAACCAATTTGATCAAGAAACGGTTTGCATTTTCTGACTGCAATTCCAATGTTTGTTTGTTTTTTTAGCTTTTTACATTTTATGTCTGACTTCAACAGTTCAGAAATGTATTCTACCACAGTAAAACTTCTTTGTTTAAGGCTGTTTGCTAGGTTTTAAATAAGAATGGCAACGTATTTAATGACAATGTAAATAAACAACCATTTCAGTAGTTATTCAATGATAGTCTATTTTCCGGGGTGTATCTGAATGCACCATGAAGGCTCCAGGAGAAGCCGTAAAACACCGAGTAGAGCAGCAATCGTTTTTTTTAGGGATTCTGAGCCGGGGTCGCGTGACTGCAGATTGGACCACGGTGTGAAACTCGATACAACACAGCAACACGGACCATTAGTTGGCTGTGCTATAGAGCCGTATAGGTCTAAACAATCAGGAAATCGGGATAAAGGAAATCATAACAGCGCAGACGGTCCAAACCTGTGTAAATTGTTGCCTCGACGTTTTCGTACATTCTGCATTGGAGGTTCCGGTTAAACGGTCTCTGTTTTATCAGTGAAGCAAGAAAAAAGCCGGTGTCCAAATTACAAGAGCTTAAGGCGTCTAAAGTTTATTGAAACTGATAGAAGCGTTTTTCACTTCCTTGTTAGCATTTTGGCTCCGCCCATTCCAGTAATCCTCCAATCAAAGAGCAGAACATGGAGGGAGGAGTAAACTCAAAACCGCTAAATTATTCCGTTTTAAGACTATAGCTGAATTATTAACAATAATAACACTCTAAATAAGCTGTAAAAATAATTAAATCAACTAATCCTTATCACATAATCCATAGAAACGAAGTATGTTATATAAGTGTTATATAAATATTTTTCAAATCACAATAGTTAAGATTTAGTGTCAAATATTATATTATATATTATTTGTGGTATATATTATTTGTGGTTATATACATATACATCAGTGAGGAAAAATCAGAATAAAATATATTAATTAGCTTATCTATTTAAAAATTTTAAAATTTATTAATTTATTGCTTATTGCAACTAATGAGCAGAAGGTGACCCTCCTAGACACAGCACTTCCTCATTTGCAAAATGAGGCAGAAATGCATACAGAAATGTAAAAATGACAGGCAGAAATAAATAGCACTGAGGGAATAAATAGAGTAAAAAATGCAAAGGAAGAATAAAAAAAGTCAAAAATATTATATCATGTACAGAAATAAATACTTAAAAAAAAAGTAATAAATAAAGTTGAAAATTATAACAGACAATAAACAAGGTAATTATTACAAAGGCTAATAAATAAAGAAGCTAATTAAAAGTGATTCATACATTTATGTCTCACTGTATAATTCAATTTCTACCTACATGTATTTGTTTATTGTACTTTTGGGGACAAATAATTCTATGCTTACGTATTTATTGAGCATGTATTTATTTCTGTATTTATTTTTAATTATTGCATAGTTGATCCTCTATACAGAACAGCTGTCCTGACACTTGAAAAACACTTTTCAACCACATTTTAGCTGCTTTAGATCAAGCTTCTAAATATTACAATTGTATGGGTGTGTAGGGGAAAGTTAAATAGGATAAAATGTTGGCATTTTAATACAAACAGCTGGTGAGAATTTAAGTAACAGTAAAAACTGTTTCAACCATCCCCACTCTTCGACGTGGAGTGACAAGACTCTAAATGAACGTTTTCGAATTACAGCTTCATTGTATTACATTCAGATTTGTTTTAAAGATTGCAAAATGAGTAAAAAAAATATATATATATATTTTTTTTAGATTATGACCTGTCATGTTAAAAGCCTTTTTTAGCAGCCTTTTTTAGATTGCAATATTGTAAGTCGGCGTATTTTCTCTGAGCTTTCCCAGCATTACGCATCAACCGTTCCATGGATATTACCTTACACTGTGTTTTGAAAATAAAAACAAACATGTAACAGAATTTTGTAAACAATATTTTTATTACCGGTATTTTCATATTTATAGCTTTCGCTGAGAGTTGAAATTAAAGTTTGTTTTATTTAGCCCAAAGGCCAAACGTGGGCTATTTTTCTATTTTCAGCAACAGATCAGCAAAATTTAGTTTGAAAGACTTGTCATAATTAACCTGCACTTTTTATATATATATATATATATCTAATTAGTACATGCAATCCTCTGTGTGGCTGGGTAACATCACAAGGTGACCTGCAGTCAGCATTTTTTTTTTTTTACAGCTAATTATTCAAAGGCAAGAGTTTCTCATCTCAGTGTTGGTGTTAATGAGAGAAATTTAAAGAAGTTGATTAAAAAGAGCCTAAAGCCAAACTATCTCTAATTAAGGCTATTCATTCTCATCTGAGCAAATATTAACCATAACTTGTTCCACCATCCTTATTCCATTGCAAAACAATGTCTACTATCAATCCTTCACTTTGCATGAAACAAAGTTGTGGATATGTCTCGAGTGGACAGTGTAGAGGACAGAGAGACAGAATTCTGGATGCTATTTCTGGGCTACATGTTGGTAAGACCACAATAGTGGCTGCTACCTATATCAAATGTATTAAAGTTTAAATTATTAACTATTCATTCTCTCTGTATCTCGTTGAACACATGTCCAATATGTAGCTGTGCAATTTCTATTCCTGAAAATGTCAAATTGTTATACAAATGCATCAATTGGAAATAAATAGTTTATCTGCCTCTATCGCTAATAGAAGTTAGCACCACAACAATTACTGTTGCTATTTCGACCTGTTTTCCACCTAGCAGGTAAAATGTACTGAAGTCTGATTGGAAATTATTTCCAGGATTAAGCCCTGAAATCCACATTGAATAATACAGCATAAGGACTTGTTTCTTTTCCCAAAAAAGGTTAAAAAACAATCCTCTGGACTGTGTTGTTTTTTAACCTTATTTGAATGACTATGACCTGGATGACCGAGAATCTTCACCAAGCACATTGTTTCTATCCACCATGTGGATGTGGTATGAAATAATTTGGTCTCATTGTACAGAAGATGTCCAATAAATACACACAAACTGCATTGGGAAGGTTCCACTATCACATCTTTAATGTTGATAATATGATTGGATTTTTCACATTTTGTAAGTAATTAAACAGGATTGATGGTCCATTTAAAAGATTCAGATAACCAGTCATTTATTTCATGTTAGTTTGTAGTTTGCACAATCCCACTAAGAGTCAGGGACTTTTATTTACAAAGCAACAAAAATCCGGAAGTTGAAAACTGCAGGAGGTCAGTTGAACTTTCTGGTTGGTCTGAGGGAGAAAGGAGACTGATCAGGAAGGAGTTGGTTGATGACAACTGATTACTGATTGATCTGCTTACTTGAGAGATGAAGGGAAGGCAGCATGGATGTGTAGGGGTTTTATTTAGCTGAATTTGCAGACTGTGACTGCCCAGAGGTCCAGGAGAATCTGAGTGAGACCTGAGAGCATTGGTACTTGCAAGAGAGGTCGTGCATGAGAGCGGGAAGGCAGGTGATAAAGACTGAGAACTGCTGCACAGGTAAGACCTTTTCCATGAAGATCGGAAATGAAAAAAAAAAAGTTTACTGGTTGCATGGAACAATAACAGAGTCAGCATCAAAAGAGATTAACAAGAAGACAAATTTCAACAAGATGGATATTCCTGGTTAAGGTCTTTTTCTGGAATACTATCAGAGGTAATCATCCGGCAAACAGAGATGATTCATCGGCTCCTTTTATACTCACACGCCATCTTGATTGAAAAATGTTCTCAGGTGTGCTGCAACACACTGCACTGAAACCTTCCATATCAATTCCCTTTACACCATAACTTTAAACTGGTTTACCTTTATAAACAGAACTGTTCATTTTACTGCTGTAAGCTGTTCATTTACTGTTGAAAAGCTGTATGCATTGACATATTGTTTTGTATGCACTCTGTTAATACAAGATGACAATAAAGTTTGTCTAAGTAACACGGGTCAGCTTAGCCACCGCAAAGATCCTCTGTGTGACAGGAAGCTCACTCTCACAAGAAAAACAGAAAAAAAACCCAGAGATCCTAACAATTAGCTGGATAACAAGCATTGAACCTTAATTGTCATGTACTAAAACATGAAACATAAAATCGCTCATTCAAACAATTTTGTCTCAAAGACTAACCAAACTAAACCTGAGGCCTCACATTTCATTTGAGTTCTTTTTTTATTTCTCTTCTTGTTCAAGACTACTGAAAATATTTTCCTTTTAATTAAGGTGATTTAAACCCTTAGCAACAAAGACAGAAGACGTTGCTATTTAGAATAAAACTTTTTTTTTTTATCCACAGGCCGTTAATTACAGGTTGCAATTAGTGCAACAAGCCTTCATCTTACCATGCCATGAGCAATTTTTGATTATAAACTCTGCAGGCTATTATTCTGAAAGACACCATGTTAAATGATTTGTGGTTACATAGGAGTTGCCATGGCGCCACAAATGAAACATTTTCATGATTTAAGCCTGTGTGTTTTTTTCTTTAAAAAGAAATACCTTTTAAAGAGAAAATGTTTATATAAGGACTAAATAACAACCTGTTTGCATGAGACAGGAAGCAACTTCTGCCTGCTAAATGCTTTTGATTTGGCGTGTATAGAAATATAAAACTCTCAATAATTCCTTGGTGCAGACTATTGAAAATGACCTTCCCTTTGAGGGGGAGCAGGCTCTGACATGGTGGTGCATTATGCAGAGGAATCCTGATTTGAAAAAAGCAAGCCTTGAGGAAAAAATGACATACCTCACCTTTACTGTCATCATAACTGAGCAACTTCTTGAAATGCCAACAATCCCGCCGTACATCCGTCCGTACATCTCAAAAGAAAGACTATCTGTTCACTACAAAATTGTCAACAAATGACTTAAATTCCTGGTTCACGGCTTTTTTTTTTAGCTTCAAAAATTATTTTTAACATTCACTACAACAAATCATAGTCACAGTACTGTACCTCTGTGAGTAGTTTTGTTTTGACCTACTGGTATTGGTTTAATCTGAATTTAATGAAAAGATATAAATGATCATGAATAAATAATAAAGTTAAGCTAAGAATTAAATTTAAATTTCAACACCAGCTTTCAATTTATTGAAGCTGTGAAATATTGATGTCAGAAAGATAATCACTCATGCTCAGTCACTGTTAATGCTTATCACACATGTACCTCTGTATAGAAGAGAGAACAAAGTTAAACTTCACTTCTTGAGCAGTCAGACTTTTGTGTACTTTTAATTATAGCGGGCTTTCTCCTGGATGAGTAAAATCCCTCTGACATTTGATGTGCAGTACAGTGATCCAGCCTTTGTCACAAATTGATGAAAAGTAATGTTTGACTTCAGGGTCACATTCAGCAATGCAATATGCAGCACTTTAATCTTCTAAAGGTTGGTATATAACAGAATGTAGAGGCCAGGTGAAAAGAAAAGCCTCTTTTTTATGCTTGGAGGCCTTAAAGTCAATGCTTCCCAAAGGGTTAAATATCACCAAGAATCTGTTTATAACTGTCTGAGGAATAATTAAAATGAAAAACTGGTTTACTGGTAAAGGTAAACATGGCTATATTATAATCAAACAGCTTGGTTTCTGACCTTCACAAAAAAAATAAAAAGAAAGAAAGGATCAGACATCAAC